ATTGTTCTTTACAGTATCAGACTTAACTGCCATCACCAGCCACATCCACAATTGGGCGTTGTTTTTGCTTTGGCACCATCTCTTTATATTCTTTCTAGAGTTATTTCTCCACTCTTCTTCAGTAGTATTCTGGGTACCTACTGACCCAGGGAATTCATCTTTCAGTGTCATATTTTTTGCCTTTTCATACTGTTCATGGGGTTCCCAAGGCCAGAATACTGTAGTGGTTTGCCATTCCCTTCTCCAGTGGGCCATGTTTTGTCAGAACTCTCCATCATGACCCGTCTGTCTTGGGTGGCCCTACACAGCACGACTCATAGTTTCATTGTGTTAGACAAGGCTGTGGTCCATGTGATCAGATTGGCTAGTTTTCTGTAATTGTGGTTTTCATTCTGTCTGCCCTCTGATGAATGAGGATAAGAGGCTTATGGGAGCTTCTTGATGGGAGAGACTGACTGTGGGGGAAACTGGTCTTATTCTGATGGGTGGTGCCATGTTCAGCAAATCTTTAATCCTACTTTCTGTTGATGGGCAGGGCTGTGTTCCCTCTCTGTTGTTTGGCTTGAGGCCAAACTGTCGACCCACACCTCCACCACAGACTCCTGGACACTCACAGGCAAGTCTGGCTCAGTCTCTTGTGAGGAACAAGACAGGGGAGCAGGGCAAACACTGCCTTTCTCCTGGTGCACACAAGGTTTCATTTGTGCCCTCCAAGAGCCTATTTCCCCAATCTTGTGGAAGTTCTGTAATCAAATCCCACTGTCCTCCAAAGTCAAATTCCCTGGGGGTTCTCAGTCCCTTTGCAGGATCCCCAGGTTGGGAATCTGTTGTGGGTACTAGAACTTTCTTAACAGTGCAAGAATTTCTTTGGTATAATTGTCCTGCAGTTTGTGGGTCATCTGCTCAGCAGCTCTATGGTGGGTCTAATGGTGACCTCCTTCAAGAGGGCTTATGCCACATGCTGCATGACCCAGATCTGCTGCAGCCAGCCAGAGTCCCTGTCCCCGCAGCAGGCAACTACTGACCCATGCCTCCACAGGAGAAACTCAAACTCTCAAAGGCAGCTCTGGCTCAGTCTCTGTGGGGTTTCTGGGTCCTAGTGCACACAAGGTTTTGCTTGAGCCCTCTGAGCATCTCTGGTGGGTATGGAGTTTGATTTTAAATGTTGTGTAATTTTGGTGGGAATGTAAAATGATGAAATCACTATTGAGACCACTATGGAAACTCCTAAGAAAATTAACAATAGAGCTACCATATGACACAGAAATTCCACTTGTGAGTTGTTGTTGTTGTTCAGTCTGTAAGTCATGTCTGACTCTTTATGACCCCATAGACTGCATCACATCAGCCTTCTCTGACCTTCACTATCTCCCTGAGTTTGCTCAAACCCATGTCCATTGTGGCAGAGATGCCATCCAACCATCTCATCCTCTGTCACCACTTCTCCTCTTGCCCTTAGTCTCCCCCAGCATCAGGGTCTTTTCCAGTGAGTCAGCTCTTTGAATCAGGTGGCCAAAGTATTGGAGCTTCAGCTTCAGCATCAATCCTTCCAATGAATATTCAGGACTGATTTCCTTTGGATTGATTGGTTTGATCTCCTTACTGTCCAAGAGTCTTCTCCAGCACCACAGTTTGAAAGAATCAATTCTTAGGTGCTCAGCCTTCTTTATGGTCCACCTCTCACATCTGTACATGACTACTGGAAAAACCATAGCTTTGACTATATGGACCTTTGTTGGCAAAATGATGTCTCTGCTTTTTAATACATTGTCTAGGCTTGTCATTGCTATTCTTCCAAGGAGTAAGCATCTTTTAATTTCATAGCTGCAATTATTGTCTGAAGTGATTTCACAGCCCAAGAAAATGAAATCTGACACTGTTTCCTCATTTTCCCATCTATTTGCCATAAAGTGATGGCACTGGATGCCATGATCTTAATTTGTTGAATGTTGACTGTTAAGCCAACTTTTCCACTCTCCTCTTTCACCTTCATCAAGAGGCTCTTTAGTTCCTCTTCACTTTCTGCCAGTAAAGTGGTATCATTTGCATATCTGAAGTTGTTGATATTTCTTCCAGCAATCTTGATTGCAGCTTGAGATTCATCTAGCCCAGCACTTCATGTGGTGTCCGCTGCATATGAGTTAAATAGGCAGTGTGATAATATGCAGCCTCAATGTACTCCTTTCCCAATTTTGAAGCAGTCCATTATTCCATGTCCAGTTCTAACTGCTGCTTGTTGTCCTGTGTACAGGTTTCTCAGGAGGCAGGTGATGTGGACTGGTATTTCATCTCATTAAGGATATTTCACAATTTGCTGTGATCCACAAAGTCAAAGGCTTTAGCATAGTCAGTGAAGCAGAAGGAGATTTTTTGTTTTTATTTCCTTTCTTTTTCTATGATCCAGTCTATGCTGGGAGTTTGATCTCTGGTTCCTCTGCCTCTTCTAAATCCAGCTTGTACATCTGGAAGTTCTTGGTTCATGTACTGCTGAAGCCAAGCTTGAAGGATTTTGAGCAAAATCTTGCTAGCATGTGAAATGAGTGCAGTTGTACAGTAATTTGAACATTTTTGGCCTTGCCTTTCTTTGGGATTGGAATGAAAACTGACCTTTTCCAGTTCTGTGGCCACTGTTGAGTTTTCCAAATTTGCAGGCATAAAGAGTGCAGTGCATTAACAGCATCATCTATTAAGATTTGAAATAGCTCAGCCGGAATTCTACCTCCACTAGCTTTGTTTGTAGTGATGCTTCCTAAGATCCATTTGACTTCGCAGTTCAGGATGTCTGGTTCTAGGTGAGTGACTACACCATCATGGTTATCTGGGTCATTAAGATCTTTTTTGTATAGTTCTTTTGTGTATTCTTGCTACATTTTCTTAATCTCTTCTATTTTTGTTAAGTCCTTGCCATTTTCGTCCTTTATTGTGCCTATCTTTGTATGAAATATTACCTTGGTAGCTCCAGTTTTCTTAAAGAGATCTCTAGTCATCCCCTTTCTATTGTTCTTCTGGATACTGCTCACCCCCCACAAAAAAGAAAAAGTTGAAAATATATTCTCACAAAGACATTTGTATACTCATGTACAGAACATTATTCATAATAGCTAAAACATGGAAACACCCCAGGTGTCCATTAAAAGATAAATGGTAATCAAAATATGGTATACACATGACATGGAATTTATTCAGACTTATAAAGAAAGAAAATTCAGATACATGCAACAACATGGATGAATCTTGAGGTCATTATTGTAAGTGAAATAAACCAGTCAAAAGTAACAAATACTATATGATCCCACTTATATAATATATTCAGAGTAATCAAAATCATAGAAATAGAAAGTAGACTGATGTTTGTCAGGGGCTGAGGAGAAGGAGCATAAGGCCTTATTGTTTAATGGGTATGTAATTTCAGTTTTACATGAAAAAAGTTATGGAAATTGATGATGGTGTTGGTTTCACATTGTTATGAAAGTATTTATATCACTTCACTATACACTTAAAAAGTTTATGGTGGAATATTTTAAGGTATGTATGTATATTTTACAGCAATAAAAATTAAATAAAAATATATGAAGTGGTGACATGGGTGAAAAGGCAAACTGAGGTGCACAAACGTATAAAGACTTACTCCTGAGACCCTTAGCATTTGGCCCAAGTCTTTGTATATGGTAAAGGATATACAGAAGGGCAAAACTCAAGCTATCTGTTTGAATTTTACAAAAGCATGACTAGGCATTTCTACCCAAATGAGACCACTGGTGCCATCTGCCTTATAGCCAGCAGATGGTGCATTTTTGAGTTGAATTATACCCATTCAACTGATTGTCTCCATTACCCCTCTCCTTTACCCTATCTCAGATGCAAAGCTAAGCTCTAGATCCTTGCCAAACTTCTCTTGCCAATGAAGCACACCATTTATATCTAAAGCACTGCACACAGCCTGGTTTACCTGGGTTTCCTCATAACTTAACAGAATCAGCAATCTTACAGTTCACACTTCATGTTAATTAATTATTGATGAATAATTCCATATATTAATTTAAAACATAATGATTTTCTGTTTTTCCTGGCTTTCCTATTTCTATAATAACAAATTAAAATGGAAATCTTTGTTGCTATTTCTGTATCTGGATATTTTGGGGCCAAATACAGATTAATTTACTTATCCACTTATTCACCAATTATTGATAAGTTATTACATGCCAAGGCAAAATTCTAGCAGTTGGAAATACAAAAATGAACAAAGAGTTAAGTCCTCATTCTTATGAAGCTTACATTCTATTGGGGGAATCAGATATATAACAATGATAAATAGATAGATACATAGAAAACAGATTGATAGATGTTAGTGCTAATGATAAGTAGAAAAATAAAGCAAGGTAACTGAGTAGAGGATACTTCAAACAGGTGTGGATGTCTAGGTTTAAAGTTAAGTCTCAGAAATTAATAATATGGAGCAAAAAACCTTGCTTCTAGTAATTATTCCTATCAGCAACAGTAGCTAGTATTTATTGAGCGCTTTACATACGTGATTCTTACTATTACCTCCACTTTACAAAGGAATAAACTGAGATTTGGAGAAGGTAAAACGTTTTAAAACATCAAGATCACAGGGCTAATAAAGGGCAGTGAAAGTGTTATTCACTCAGCTGTGTCTGACCCTTTGTGACCCCATGGACTGTAGCCCGCCAGGTTCCTCTGTCCATGGAATTCTCCAGGTAAGAATACTGGAGTGGGTAGCCATTCCCTTCTCCAGACCCAGGGATTGAACCTGGGTCTCCTGCACTGCTGGCAGATTCTTTACCATCTGAGTCACCAAGGAACTTGAGTTTGAATTCTTTCTCTGCCATTAATAAATAGCAGAGATGGGATTTAAGTTCAGGTTTTCCTGAATTCCAAGTCCATGCTACTAGTACTGAACGATGCTGGATATTTCCTTTATTAAATTATTTTGCACTTACTTAACCAAGACTGCTCATAAGCTGTGCTGCCTTTTTCAGTTCCAGTGTCCCATCCTGTTGTCACTTTCAGTCCTGCTGGGACCGAGGCTGTGGTGGGAGATGTGTTAGAGCTCCGCTGTGAGGCCCAAAGAGGCTCTCCCCCAATCCTGTATTGGTTTTATTACAAGAATGTCACGCTGGGGAGCAGAGAGGCCCCCTTTGGAGGAGGAGCATCCTTCAACCTCACTCTGATGGCAGAGCATTCTGGAAACTTCTCTTGTGGGGCTGACAATGGCCTAGGGGTACAGCACAGTGAGATGGTGATACTCAGCATCATAGGTAGGTTGGTGGTACCCGGGCTACAGGTTACATTTATAGTCAACAAAATATTTCTCCAATAGGCTGTACAAATCCTCCCAATGTCAAAGAGTTATTAACATGAAACCAAGGCTTGGGGCTTCTGGAGATTGGTACTGATTTCGTGGGGACAGGGGAGGGAAAAGAAATAACTTTTAATGCTAGATTCTGGTAATCACTCTCCCTATGTTATTATTTTGAAAATACAAATTATACTGGAAATGATTCCAGTTGAGAAATCAGAACCTGGCAAAAACCTGTCCTAATATATAGCTAGTCCTCCACCTACATAGTTTTTGTCTGGATGAAATGTATTTGGCACTGAACTCAAATACAGGTCTCTTCACTTAGGACCACCCAGTAACAAAACATCCCTTGTCACTGAGGGAGTCACCGCAGGGTTACTGAGCATCCTTGGCCTTGCTGCTACTGCTGCTCTGGTGCATCACTTCAGGACCCAAAGGAATTCAGGTAAGTGGCTATATCTAACTCTTCCATGTTGTGACTTTTGCCATTGCTATTACTATTTTGACTTGTGTAGTGTATCCTACAAAGGTTGATTATTCTTTTCCAAGTACTGATCACACAGATTGGTAGAGATAAAAAGGCAGAACAAATTTCTTACTGAAGTTGTTATTCCATGTGTTTCATTTGAATTTTAAATCAGAAAGTAGAGTTTTGTTTCCATTTAAAAACTAGAAAGTTAAGTATTTACTGTTCCAACCTCAGTCCAAAGCTTACTGAAAATAAAAAGAATGAAAGAGAAAGCCCTTCATCTGTAAAAACAACAGAAATAAACAATAGCCATAGGTACAATCCATAAACTCATATATATTTAAATACCATTAAATTCAGTGATATTTAGATAAAATTAAGAAATTCTGAGAATGAAATTAAAATTTCAGTTTCTGATTGTTGCTATTATGTGTGTGTTAGTAGCTCAGGCATGTCCAACTCTTTGTGACCCTGTGGACTCTAGCCTGCCAGGCTCCTCTGTCCATGGGATCCTCCAGGCAAGAATACTGGAATGGATTACCAGTTCCTCCTCCAGGGTATCTTCCCAACCCAGGGATTGAACGGGTTTCCCACCTTGCATGCAGATTGTTTAACTTCTGAGCCATCAAGGAAGCCCCTTGTTGCTAGTATATAGAAATTCAGTTGATTTTTCTATATTGGTCTCATATCCTACAACTTTGCTAAGCACACTTACTAGTTCCAGTATTAGTTTTGACGATTTCATCAGATTTTCTACATAGATGACCAAGTCATCTATGAATAAAGATAATTTTATGCCTTCCTTTCCAATCTTGATTCCTTTTTTCTTTTAGTGTACTGCCTAGAACCTCCTGCACAATGTTGAACAGAAGTGTTAAGAGAACAGACATCGTTGTCTTGTTCTTGAGCTTAGGGAGGGGCAAGTATTTGAACTTTCATTGTTTACGTATAATCTTGGCTGTGGATTTCTTGTAGCTACTGTTTATTAGGCTGAAGAAATCCCTACAAATTGTAACTTACTAACAGTTTTTATAGAACAATGACAAATGCTTTTTCTATGTTGAGAAAATCATATGATTTTATTTTCTAGTCTACTGATACAGATTTTGGATTTTGAATGTTAAATGTTGAAACAGCTTTGCATTTCTAGGGTTAACCTTCCTTGGTTATAATTTTTGAATTTGATTTGCTAAAATTTTGTTAAGAATACTTGCACCTATGTTCATAAGGGATATTGGTTTGGTAGCTTTATTTCTTATCATTTCTTTTTCTGGCTGGATGTCAAGGTAATACCCATTTAATTATGACCTCCAGAATCCTTCATTCCTCTTTGTATATATATACATCCACATGGTATCATTTTCTCTCTGCCTAAAGGATTTCTTTTTAACATTTCTTATAGTATGAGTTTGTTGGTGAATTTGATTGATAGTGTTGCTGAAGTCTTTGATATCTGTACTGATTTTTCTCTTACTGTATTGATTATTGAGAGAGGGATATTAAAATCTTCAACAATAATTGTGGGTTTTTTCATTTTTTTCTTGCAATTCTATCAGATTTACTTCATGTATTTTGAAACTATTATTAGGTGCACAAATATTTATCACTGTTATGTGTTTTTGATGAAATGACCACATTATCCTTTATGACTTTATGACCTTATGACCTTTTTATTCCTGGTGGTATCATTTAACCCTGAAACACTATTTGATATTAACAAAAAATCAATTAATGTTGTATTAACTATAGGGCTTCCCTGATGGCTCAGATAGTAAAGAATATGCCTGTAATGCAGGAGACCCAGGTTTGATCCCTGGGTTGGGAAGACCCCCCTGGAGAAAGGAATGGCTACCCACTCCAATATTCTGGCCTAGACAATCCCATGGAAAGAGGAGCCTATATTAATATATTTATATCAAATAATATTTCGAGGTAAATTATACTACCAGGAATAAAAAATTATATAATTAATGTTGGGCTTCCCAGGTGGCTCAGTGGTAAAGAATCTGCCTGCCAAAGCAGGGGACACAAGAGACGTGGGCTTGATCCCTGGGTTAGGAAGGTCCCCTGGAGGAGGAAATGGCAACTTGCTCCAGTATTGTTGCTTGGAGAAGCCCATGTACAGAGGAGCCTGGAGGGTTACAGTCCGTGAGGTGACAAAGAGTTGGACACAACTGAGCACATATGCATATAATTAACATTAGCTTGATATTTCTTTTTTCCACTCTTTAAAATTTTAACCTATTTGTGCTTCTATATTTAAAGCATACTTTTATAGATAGCATATAGTTAATTCTGTTTTTTATCTAATATGGCAGTCTCTTTCTACTTTCTAACTTTAAGAACTTTGACCATTTGCATTAATATGATTGTCGATACAACTAGGTTCCTATGTCTATTATTTTCCTATTTGCTCTCTGCTTGTCTCATCTGCTCTTTGTTTTACATTTCCTTTTTTTGTCTACCCTCTTGGGTATTTTTGTGATTCAATTTTATTTCCTTTGTTGGTTTATTAGCTATATAACTCTCTGTTTTGTTATTTTAGTGGTTATTTTAAGGTATATGGTATACATATCTAACTATCAGTCTACTTACAAGTGACATTGCATCACTGCCTGTCTAGCATAAGAATATTATCAATGTGCACTCCATTTCCCCTTTTGATGGTACATTGTTATTACTTTTGTAAACAATCAGTTATTTTTAAAAGAAACTTATATATAATTAAAAAATATTATACATTTACTTATACAGTTAACACTCAGTGTTCTTCATTCTTTTGTGTGTATCCATATTTTCATCTGATATCATTTCTTTTCTGCTTAAAAGATTTCTTGTAGGATGGGTCTGCTAGTGATTATCTCAGCTTCTGTATGACTATAAAAGTCTTTATTTTGCATTCATTTATGAGAAATAGTTTTACTGGCATAGAATCCTAAGTTGAAAAAAAATTTTTTTTCTTTCAATATGTAAAGATGTTGCTGTACTGTCTTCCTGTGTGCATGGCTTCTGACAGGGAATCTGCCATCATCCTTGACTTTGTTCTTATGTGACTGCTTTAATTTTTCTCTCTGAATGCTTTTCGTGGATCAGAAATCTTGGGATGTATGGACTGGTTTATTCAGTGCTTTGGGTGCTTATAAGGTTTCAAGACTTTATATTTGGAATTACTAATCCTTTACTTTCTGTCTTTCTCTGTGGTATAACACAAGCTCTCCTTTTCTATCAGGCCAAATGATTCTATTTTCCTTTTTTTAGGGCTTATACTGAAAATCAAGCAAATAAACAAATAACTGGATCTCAATTTAATGAAAACCATCTTAATGATGGTGGTTAAGCATGTCTTCTTCTACTCTCAGGTCAATCAATGGCCTTTAATCTTTCTGCTTCTTTGTATGAAAAATGGCACCATTTCACATCATTTTGTGACTGATATTTACAGCCACCTAATATCAAATAATATTATGTATACAATTTTTGTGCAGCACTAACCCTGATCAGTTCAGTTCAGTCGCTCAGTCATGTCCAACTCTGTGACCCCATGGACTATAGCACTCCAGGTCTCCCTGTCCATCACCAACTCCAGAGCTTACTCAAACTCATGTCCATTGAGTCAGTGATGCCATCCAACCATCTCATCTTCTGTCATCCCCTTCTCCTCCTGCCCTCAATCTTTCCCAGCACCAGGGTCTTTTCAAATGAATCAGTTCTCTGCATCACTTGGCCAAAGTATTGGAGTTTCAGCTTCAGCATCAGTCCTTGCAGTGAATGTTCAGAACTGATTTCCTTTAGGATGCACTGGTTGGATCTCCTTGCAGTCCAAAGGGCCTCTCAATTCTCTAACACCACAATTCAAAAGCATCAATTGTTCGATGTTCAGCTTTCTTTATAGTTCAACTCTCACATCCATACATGACCACTGGAAAAACCGTAGCTTTGACTAGATGGACCTTTGTCCTAGTAATGTCTGCTTTTTAATATGATGTCTATGTCATAGCTTTTCTTCCAAGGAGCAAGCATCTTTTAATTTTATGGCTGCAGTCACCATCTACAGTGATTTTGGAACCCCCCAAAATAAAGCCTCTCACTCTTTCCACTGTTTCCCCATTTATGTTCCATAAAGTGATGGGACCAGATGCCATGATCTTAGTTTTCTGAATGTTAGGCTTTAAGCCAACTTTTTCACTCTCTTCTTTCACTTTCATCAGGAGGCTCTTTTTTGCCATAAGGGTGGTGTCATCTGCATATCTGAGGTTTCTGCTGTTTCTCCTGGCAATCTTGATTCCAGCTTGTGCTTCATCCAGCTTGGCATTTCACATGATGTACTTTGCATATAAGTTAAAAAAGCAGGGTGACAAAATACAGCCTCAACATACTCTTTTCCCAATTTGGAACCAGTCTGTTGTTCCATGTCCAGTTCTAACTGTTGCTTCTTGGCCTTCATACAGATTTCTGAGGAGATAGGTAAGATGGTCTGGTATTCCCATCTCTTTAAGAATTTTCCACAGTTTGTTGTGATCCACTCAGTCAAAGGCTTTGGCATAGTCAATAAAGCAGAAATAGATGTTTTTCTGGAATCTCTTGCTTTTTTGATGATCCAACAGATGTTGGCAATTTGATCTCTGGTTCCCCTGCCTTTTCTAAATCCAGCTTGAATATCTGGAAGTTCACGGTTCACATATTGTTGAAGCCTGGCTTGGAGAATTTTTACTTTGCTAGCGTGTGATGAGTGCAATTGTGTGGTAGTTTGAACATTCTTTGGCATTGCCTTTCTTTGGGATTGGAATGAAAACTGACCTTTTCCAGTCCTGTGGCCACTGCTGAGTTTTCCAAATTTGCTGGGATATTGAGTGCAGCACTTTCACAGTATCATCTTTTAGGATTTGAAATAGCTCAGTTGGAATTCCATCACCTCCACTAGCTTTGTTTATAGTGATGCTTCCTAAGGCCCACTTGACTTCACATTCCAGGATGTCTAGA